TTATATATATAAAAAGGATTATAATTAATATTGTATACCTGAGCTGGAGTTGCGTTATGTTTGTGAGCAATGGATTGTATAATTGGATGATCAACCACAGCAGTAGTTCCCCAAGCATTTCCCGGACCACCAAGAGGTGAATATGCACTTACATGAATTCCATAATCCCCACATATTGATCTTAACTTACTTTGTCTCCACATTGGATGCATTTCAACCTAAAAAATAAAAACAAATTTAATATATGATCAATCAATATTAGTCATAGGCTGATAATAGAATAAAATTATTAAATAATCCTTAATTGTCAACGCTAATTAAGAAGAGATATACGTCTTTATTTGGTCATTAGTCACCATATCGTACGTACATATGAATACGAGTTTAATTGATGCATATGACAAAAAGGGGTCGGCTTTCGTTGACCCAAACAAAAAATATATATACATATATATATATCACTCCGATCTAAGTGTCTTACTTTGATTTGAAATAAAGTTTAAAAATTAAAGAGAGATTTTTAAATTTATCAGGTAGAATTATTGAAATTTTGAAAATTTACCAAGTATAGATAGGAGCACTCCTTTTAAAACAGACCATAAAGATAAATTAAATTGAGATAGACAGCATAGAAAGAAAGTATATATTTTATACTGTAAATCGACATGTCGAAATATTTTTGAACCTATCATTTCAAACGTATAGTAAGTTTAGTGTTAGAAACCTAAAATCAATAGTCACAAACATATATTAGATTGCAAAATATATAGTATATATGTATACCTGATTGACAACAGGAGTGACACAAGCAAAGTTTATGAGTTCTTCAATCTTTCTAGATGAGAAGTTGCTTACTCCAATAGACTTACACAAACCCATCTCTAAGCACCTCTCCATACCAGACCAAGTATTTTCCATGTCCAATTCCTCAAAGTCTTCTTCTGCTGGAACTGGATAATCTACCCATGCCTTCAAAGCCACTGGCCAATGCACTAAATACATGTCTATATATTCCATTCCTAGCCTCCTGCGCGAATGAAAACTTTAAAGTTAAATTATTTTCAATAATATAGAGATGTGTCACTCTCTTGACTAATAAAAAAAATCATTATGTATGTCAGCACAAACGTGCTTACTGTAGAGTTTGTTGAATTGCATCAACAGGATCATGATGATCACTTGACCAAAGTTTAGAAGTAACATGAATATCTTCCCTTTCAATCAATCCATCATGAATTGCTCGTCTTAATGCATTTCCCAAAGCCAACTCAGAACCATATATTTTTGCCGTATCAAAATGTCTATACCCCATCTACATGGAATAAAATGTACCAGTTTAAGTTTTGCACACTGATAATATTAAAAATATTTACCTACTTAAAAAAAAAGATAACTGCATGTAACTCGTTTTTCAAAAGTTCGATCATTTACTTACCTTGATCGCGGCTCTAATGGCTTTCTCAGTTGTTTCTCTATCGTTTTCGCCTGAATAAGTACCCATACCGATAATCGGTAGGGTTTCACCATTGTTAAGCATCGCCTGATAACTTCTCATTTTAATTTATTTCTCTCTCACTTAATTGTGTGTATGTTAATATAAAATGCATGAAACAAATTGACTTAGTGTGGGTTTATATAGTAATTTGATTTCTACTAAAAAAAAGTCAAATTTCAGTTAACAGTTGATAAATGGACCCTGAGAAATATTTTTTATTTTAAAAAAAAATAGAAAAGACAGAAGGGAAGGAATCATAAATAAAGAGATTCTTGTTATTTTTATCAAATGTAAAGATATGACGGTGCACTCCAATTTTTTTTAAAAAAAGAGTCAGATACAAGTATATGTTTCTTGCAAATATACTGTCAAAAAATGATTGAGGATCTTTTTATACAGATGGAGCAACCCCCTTCAATTGGAAGCTAATTAAGTCAATCATTAAATTAACCAATAAAAAAAAAGTCAATCATTATGTAGAGTATTTCCACCATCTCAATTTATCTGATATAATTAGAAAAAAGTTATTTAAGGTGATAACTTATGATCTAAAATAAGTAAATTATGAATCAAAAGATTGTCGTCAATAATCAAAACAATGATCACAATTAGTTATTTTCTCGCGCAATAGCGTTTTAAAACCCAAAAAAATCAATCAAACAACATTGTTCTGATTACACCTAAGAGTAATATTCTCAACATATTTTGTGTGGGATTTGATCTCAACTTTGTCCGATTTTATATTTCAACAACTACCGCTTTATACACCATTAAGAAGCGTAATATGGGGATGAGGATTAAAATAAAAATTCTTATCATCTATTATAAATCACAAATTTCAAAAGTCATTCTTTTTCTTCTTAAATTTCGTGTTAAATTTAAACTAACTCATATAAAATATGACAGCGGGAATAAGTAGTATAATTACATTTTGTTTCTTTTTAATTACCACGTTTGTAGCATTTGGGACATATATAGAGTAATTATTATGTTTCCTAATATTTCTCTAACAGATTTTGTTTGCCGGCGTATCTGCAGGACGGCCCAACTGGCTCTCAACACTAAAAATTAAATGTAACAATTTTAATTTTATTGACACAAAGAAAAGGTCAAGCCGCTGACTTCCATTTTGAAAGAAAATATAGTTCAAAACCGTCCATTTTACTATTTTTTATGTTATAAAAATGGTGATATATATATCATAAAGTCAAATAACCCAAAATTTGTAACATTTCCAGACCAGGGGAGGCCCCCCTTTGTTTTCTTGCTCTTTCATACTATATAGATTAGTAGTCTAATTATTTCTCAACAAGTTTCATTTATTGATATTATTATTATTACATAAATGTATACGATATATAACGTTTTCTAATTTAATCGTAGCTCATATTTACGACATTCAATTTTTGAATAAATAAGGACTAATTACTTAGTCAAATTAATTTTCTTTTAAAATAAGTAAAAGACAAATATAACTAGTGAAATGAATGAAGTACAATTTTATGATAATTTACGACAATCACTTCAAATGTAGAAATTTTAGGAAGAAACTTACGTACTTGAATTGAATCTTCCTATTATATGTCTTTTCTATTATTTTTTGCCTCCCCACCACCACATGCGGATGCCTGATCCATTATTGACTTAAATGTCCTATACTATTTGTTCGTTTTATACGTTCTTAACTATCCTATTTATCGTATATTAATTATTCGTTTTATACGTTTTTAACTATTCTATTTATCGTATATTAATTGTTCGTTTTGCACATTTTTAACTATCCTATTTATCATATATTAATTATTCATTTTACACGTTCTTGACTATCCTATTTATCGTATATTAAATATTCGTTTTACACATTCTTAACTATCCTATTTATCGTATATTAATTGTTCGTTTTACACGGTCTTGAAAGAATAAGAAAACTAGTTTTTCTTAAGAAGCTATTTTGAAACTTATTAAAAAAAATAAAATATTGTAAAGAATAATGAAAGTACGTAAATTCGACTGTCTTTATATATTTGCAAGTGAGTTCAATCAAAAGTTCAAATCCTTAAAGGACTAACAGTAAAAGTAAAATACAAAAAAACAATTAATTAGTCTTGATTATATATATTAATAAATTGTTTAAAATTATTATTTGTAGTGACGTGGAAAATTAATATAGACAAAAACTATAAGTAAAAGTCCAAAATATTGTTAGTTAGTTAATAGGAATACGACTTACGAGTATGATGTGTATACATCAAAAATCAGATATGGTTGCATTCAATGTCATTAACCTTTTGGGTTCTTAATGGGTTATGGATACTTAATTAAATAATTAATTGGGTCAAGTCAACCATTAAACAATTAATAATACATACACATCTCTTTCTAACTTCTAAGCATAAAATCAATGGGTCATTATCCGATTAGTTTGACCAGCTTGTAAAACTATATTACATATTTGCATGTATACTCAAAACTTAGAAACGTTAGTTGCAAGTTTAATTGAAATCAGTAATTTTATTTTAATTTTAAAAATTCATTAAAATATTGTTAAGAATATCTTTAGACTACTAATTTAAAACTCATTAATTTAAAAAGATTATTTATTTTTATAAATTTCAATTTCTGAGTCAACGTCTCAAAAATATTTCTAAATTGTATATGTCCTATTTACCCACTATTCGTCATGCTAATTCCTAACCCCTTTAAAGGTTAGAGCCATGCGCTGCCACGTAACTTTTTATTTTTTGATCATTGACAATTTATTTTTTTTGTATAAAATAAAGTGGAATGTAACTTTTCGTGGAACAAACATGTTAAAAAGAATTCATTTTTAAGAAAGATGAGAGTAATAAATTAAAATACTAGCAGTACTTATGATTGAATGGAGCAAAGCATGTTGGAAGTTGGGAATGGGAGAATCATAATCATGTGATTTTAGGATTTTCACACGTTATAACAATTTACTATTCCATATGTTTCATATTATGTCTATATTTTTCTTTTAAATGAATTGATTCCTTAATTTTTTTTCAAACTGCAATATATTTATGTCTTTTATTTATTAATATCAAGATTAAGGATGAAAGATTTGTTAAATTTCGTTAATAATTTTTATACTTTTATCAAGAATTAATTTAAAAGAAAAATATAATTATATCTTGATTTTTATTAATTTTGACAAATAATTTTAATAATATGAATAAATAATAGAAGACAGATAGAGTAAAGATAGTGTGTGATATTCAAATAAAAGTAGCAAGGTGTGCAATTTAGGACCAAAATATGAAATAACTCTAAACCACTAATCAAATAATAGGGATATTTTTAATCTTTTTCCGTAATTTTCTTTGCATGTAAAAAAATATAGAACCTATGGCATACACGTATAAAATTTAATACTCAACTACTTTCATTATTATCACATATGTGAACTTTTTACCATTATTTCCTATTTTTCTTTGACTACATGGATTTCAAGAACCTGTCTTTTGAGATGAGATCCAAATCATCTTATGATAAAGCTAAAAAATACTTGCCATAACCAAATGCCACCAGCAAAAATAAATGATACAGAAATAAGCCAAAATTAGTCACAGATGCTAACTTAAAGCAGAAATGGCACGGTGTTAGACAAGGTTAAAACACAGATAAGAGAGCCTATAGGGGAGAGTACATCATACAAACAAGATGATTAGAATGCATTAGGGATAAGAATTTCTACATATTGGAGGGAAATAAGAATATACACATGCCCCCAAGTATCTGCAAAAAAAAAATAGAAGTGCAGAAACATGTAGGTGAATAGCAAATAGGAGCATTTAGACATCAAATGGAGAACTTTGAACAGAAACATAACATGCAAATTTGAAGTTACTGCAAACAAAATTACAGTCTTACCGTATCGTGAAATCATTTGTTTTTAGCTGCAACTGTTCTCTGCACTGTTGAGACACCATCCACAAATTTTGTCCGGAAGAGAACATTTGCATTGTTAAACATACCCTCTTTCAACGATACAACAATAAACTGCAGAATCCAAAATAACAGAAGTTAAAAAAAAAGCTACTAAATAGTTAACATTGTCCATCTGACAACTATTTATGTTGGAGTACTCTTTAATTGTTAACCACTAGATAATCATGTTATGAGCATTACCAACAATTAAATTTTCTAGAAAAGTATGTCACTGGTGTTATTTGTTGCTCTCCACACCAAAAGTATTGTTCAAGAGATAACATAGCATTGTTAAAATTCAATCATGATAAACTAGCGAACCTGAGAATGTGGAAAATGACTCTTGATCATTCTTCCAATGTTCTGTGTATGACTTAAGTCAAGAGCTGCATCAACCTGACAACCAATAAAGATGCAAATTACTAGCAAACAGTGGGAAGGTGAGTAAGAATTGGTCACAAGGTTCAGTAAGCATTTCATATGCACCAATTACCATCAGCAATGTCGGGTTGCATGGGAAATGTCCAAACACATAACAGAGAAAATAAACAAATTATTCAATACGTTAAGGTGCTTTTTTGTAGTTCACAAGAAGACAATTTTGAGATGACAAATTATTCAGTAAGCCTAACTATCAATAGATCAATATTTGATTATGCTTATTTAAAATTCAGTACACACAACATTTCTTAAAATTTCAATTGAATAAGACACACAGATGGACATTGAAGGAAACTTCAATTTTTCCGCAGCCTATAGCCTTAAATACTACCTCCATCCCTTTATGCCACACCATGTAACAGGCACGAAGAAGGAAATGCTAATTTAACTTTTGTGTAATAACAGAAAACGATGTCAAATAAAATATAACAATGTCAAATTAAATATGTTTTTTCCTGTAGCAACAACTGTGTCTCAATCCCGAACAAGTTAAGGTCTGTCATATGAATCCTCACCAACCATGTCTGAGAGAATGAATTTAAATAATTGGAATATTTTGAAGTTCGACAGAATCATATTGTTCATAGAGCAGTATAAAGTACTTTGGGTGTTCCAAAGGAACTATGAATCTCTAGTTTGATGAACATCAAATATTATCTCAGCCTATAGACCACATGGGTGAGAGAAATGACTTATGAGTTGTAAGATCTTAGCTTCTTCTGCTCTATGGCTACTTCAATTAAAAGTATACAAGAGGAAAACGAATGAACATCGGATTGGCTCAAACACTTGTTTTTTCAAAATATGCTTCTATCACAGCATCAAAAGATATTTCTTACACATGAATTCCTTCATTAGTTGTATGGTAATAGCGACTGGCCACTGTTATAAAACTACATGAAGCCCTCTGCCAAAATAGTAACTTGCAGTACACACTTCAGGAATCAGGAGCTTATCACTGACATTACTTAGCCTCTAATAAATAATCAATTGTTTGATGATCAAATACTCTTTCTCGATATGATAAATGTCAGAGCATATTACTTCAAGAAATTTTCAATACCTCGTCCAGGATATAAAGTGGGGCAGGCTTGAAAAGAAGCAAAGCCAGAATGAGAGAGAGTGCAAGTAGAGATCTCTGCCCACCACTAAGCTCAGATAGTGATTGTTTCCAAACTGATCCAAATGCAACACGAACCTCCAAGCCATCTAAGAAGCTGCCTCCTTCAGGTGGATCCAACTTTGCCATTGTGCCAGGTAATAAAGTAGAAAATATGGATCCAAAATCTCTGAAGAAGTATGAAATATCAAAGTGAGATTTTGTAGAATCTGAAGAATAATGTCTATTCTTCTAACACTCAATACAAATATATGTCAAATTTGCAGATCTTATGACAGGTTATCATCACAGAGTGCACAAATATGCTACCTGTTAACTTTTTCCCAAGTAACTTTAAGCGTTTCCTTCTTCTTCTCATCAAGCTCTTCAATCACCTTTTTAATTTTTGATTTGTCATTCTGCAACAACACAACAAAAGTAAAAAAATAATAAAGGGAAAACATATAGTTACACTATTATACTGACCTCAATAATATTCTTCTTTGACATTAAGTCATTGTACTCATCCTCAGCTTTTTCAAACATCGACATAACCTTCTTATTCACTCTCTTCTCAAGCCTTCAACATAAAATGGGAAGGTATAAGGAGAGGTAAACATAGCAGTGTGATTAGATAAAGTCCACATACTAACTGTTGTTGTTTGGGAAGAAACAGAATGTTCTGCATCATTGTATAAACATTTAAAATAAGCTTTAGGTTCTCACCCTGACTGATCAGCTTGAAGCTTTTCAAAATTCTCTCTTGCATCGCGAGGATCACGAGATCCAAAATCATAATCAGTACCACTTCTTCCAAACAGTTGCTTCTCAGATGCAATCCAAGAATGTTTTTCTATTAACTTCTCAACTTTCAAGGAACAATCTTTTTGTTCCATCTCCATGCGCTTCACCTTTGACGAGGTTAGGATGAAAGAAGTTAGTTTCCCGTAAAAGACATCAAGAAGAAAAAGAAGAAGAAGAAGAAGAACAAGCAACAAGATTTAACAGTTAGTAAACCTCATTTTCCATTTTCTTCTTCTCAAGATTGGTTTCACTAATTTTATTCTGAAGTTGCTGCTGCTCCTTGAGAATGCTTGAGATTTGAGAATCACATTCCTTGATCTTCAAACGAGCTGTGTTAAGTTCTGACTGCGCAAGGCCAGCATCATGTTTCAAAGAAACAAGCTGCAAGAGAAAGTCAAGAAAACTCGCGAAGAAAGTTAACAAGGAAAACAAATAAATATTAATGTCTATCATTTTAGTTTAGCAATAAAAGAAACTCTTCTGTTATGTATATGCTGTCTGCAAAGATCACCTTTGCCTTTTGGGAATCCACTTCAGATGCAAGATCATCAATCTGTTTGTTCAGAGAAACTAACTGACTCTCAAGGGATGCATGTTCCTGTTTGACAGCTTCCATCTCCATTATAAGTCTCTCCTTTTCATTGTCATGCCCCTTGAAGAATTAACAATCATATCATTATGGATTAACAGATACAGAAAATCTTAATTTGCAGCAGCCAAACTATGTATGGCATAAGTGTTAACAATGTGAAATTAAAGTAGTATCAGTCCTAGCTCGTCCACTCGGCTAAATTCCCAAATTGGTAAAATCTTAAATCTTAGACATTGTCCTTTTCTTCTGTTATTTAGATGAAAACCATTGCAATACTGTAGATAACAAATCACAATAGGCAAATCAAAAGGCCTTCAGAACTAATAACCTGAAATAAAAAATACATCTAATGGGAGACACATTCAGGAGATACCACTGGACAGTTGGTTACATGAATGATATATATTGTCCCCACTGCACTATTTCAACTTAGTATGACATTTCAAGATTTTCAGATATACAATAGCACGAATTATCTTCTTTTCACTTTTCTATTATTCTCTCACTAAACAAGCTGGTGAATGGAGCAACGCCAGTAACAAGGAGTTATATAGCCAAACCCAACTAGATTGGGTTTGAGGCATGTTGTTGTAAGAAGCAGAAGCATGCTCAAGTGCTACGAGAACTTTTATTTCTACAAGTGATTAAAGTTTTTGTAGTCATGAAGTAGCAATAAACTGACAAACCAAAGATTGTGACATTGAGAGGTTGGTTACTTGACTTTGAGGACAATAACTTTCCAATCATTAGCTTTCAAGTATTTTTCTTTATCAGTTATAATTTCCGCGTGCCCATTTGGCCACTAAAATTGTGAAATTAGAAAAAAGTAGTTTTAGTTTTCAAAGTGAAATGGTATTTGGAAATTGGAGTAGCGTTTAGCCATGAATACAAATTAAGTTGTTTTTGAATTTTTATAAGTGATTTGGAGTGAAAACAACTTTCTGGTGTATTTCAAATTTTATTGCCAAACATAACTTCCGGAATCCAACTCCGAGAAAAACTAAAAATATTCATGGTCAAACAGCCAGTAAGACTACTTAGAGGATAAGGGAAACCAAGAAGTGATGATATTGTTTTAATATGGACACTCATGAAAGAAATCAATCTAGCAATTCGCTCCCTAGTGCATAACTGCATATCACTTTCACAAGTGATATAATCGCCAAAAACCAACCTTTAGGTCCTTCAGTGAAGACTGCATCTGACGTTTTATAGTCTTAACCTTATTTTCTAGATCTTTCAGTCTGCTCTCCCTATTACCAGCATGGTCATGAATTGACTTTTCAAGACATGACACTTTCGCCAGACAGCTTTCGTAGACAAGTTTTTTCTCTTCAACACCTGATTTTGCTTCTCCAAGCTCCTGCTCTATCTTTTTTACAAGTTCACCAAGCTACAGGCAAAATAACAAATGTTAGGAGATGTTACAAGCATTATTACGAATATTTTTAAAGAGGAAATAGAGAAGACGATACAAGAATTGACAAAATGCCAAGGAAAAGGAAAGGCCACTGTCCATCTATTAGAAAATGATACTGAATAGGATAAGGTGGACAACCTTGTGATGCTCATTTTGTTCGGCCCTGCTCTGGGACAAAGATAGATCATAAGATGCAAGTTCCAACTGAGCCTTAAGATCTTTGAATTTTCTTTGAAGGGGAATGAGCTGATTAATCTGAACACCAGAAACAACAAAAGTTAAGTCCACAGGTGAGCCAAAAATAGACCAACTTATCCTGAATAAAAGTTTTAAAAAAAGAAGGGTCAGATGATGGAGCTCAAGCTTGTATAGCAAATTCAATTCTGCATTGCCATACTGATCACTCAAAAGAATCGCTAAATGATACAATAATTGGAACTTACTTTGTCATGCACTGTCCAGCTAGTTCTTAATTAAGGGGATTGAAGCAATCGCTAATTAAAAAAGATGGTCATTGACTAACAATGAAGCAAGATTATCCGAAGAGAACTTTAAACATTCCTTAGAACTTTCTCTTGTTTGACCATGATTAAACCTTAGAATTAGCAATATATCCATGCATCGAGATTCATTAACCCAAGCACATCTTAGGGTCTCCTTAGATGGTCTTGGGCAATCCTTATCTCATGGAGTTGCATTAGGTCCAAGGTCCATTTCCTCACATGATGCCAAAGCAAAATTCATTCTCTGTCTTTTCTTGGTTAACCCAATGTGGGCCCTCATATTATGTTGTCCATGTTAAACAAGCCAAGTGTGCCACGAGTGTGTTAAGAGGTCCACAATTGTTGATGAATGAACTGTTATCCTCACTTGATGCTAGCTTCTGGAGTTGTGTTAGGCCCCCAGGTTTATTTTATTTATAGAAACTAATGACCTACATGGTTACTACCCAACATCATATCCTGAAAATTCACCTAAATTGTGATTTATCCCTTTCCCCAGCTGTCAAAAGTATGCATGACATACCTTGGCATCAATTTCAGAGAGACGATTTTGATGAATAGAAAGTTTTGATTGGGCCTCTGCCAAAGAATGAAGTTGTCTCAATAAATCACCACCACCCCTGGAAAAAGTTATTAATGCTTTTAAATTTCACGTGTCATGATTAAATGTGTAGTACTACAGCCCTCAAAACAATAGAGATATTCCAAAAGTAATTTCCAGAAAAAAGAATGAAAAACTCATTTGAAGCAGCAGATGATCACTTACCTTCGACTTCCGCCAGTTAAAAGTCCGCTAGGCTGAAAAATATCACCTTCAAGTGTCACGCTGGTTATTCCAACCTCTCGGCTAAAAGCAACCTATAATTCATTTCATAAAATACAGATCAGATAGCAGGGGATATGAAACAAGAAAGTGGAAAAAGAGAAGTTTCGTGCAACTCATTGCATAAAGCTAGTAAAGTCATTTATAGAGAAAACTACCCAAAATAACCCATATTTGGGATAAGACTCAAATAAATCCTTATTCTTTAACATGAAGTACTAACACTCCGCCTTGTTTGTGGAACTGGTACTCTTTAGCTTCTCCCTAATCAACCATCAATTTCTCGCCGTTGAGCAGCTCAGGTAATGGTTTTTTTAATCAAGTAAAAGATTTCATAAATAATATCAAGGTCAAAGTTTTAAAAAAGTAATTAAAAAAATCCTGCAGAACTACAGTAATTTGGACTTCAAGAAAAAGAAAGAAATGAAGACTATCATATACACAACTTCAAAAATTTAAATTTAAAGTTCAATTGTTTTTTTCTTGTATTTCTGCATTGAAATGATCACACTGGGTATGTTGTTCTTTCTGCGCTGAAAATCATGGATAAAATAAAATGATGGGGAAAGAATAAAGAACTAATAATCTCTTCTTCTTTGGTTATAATCACATAATTAGTATAATAATTATACTTTTTTAAGCTTTAGATTAGGTGATGATCACTCTTTTCTTCTCTGTAGTGAAGAACAAATTCATAATTCCATCAGATTGGCACCTCTGTTTTCACGTTTCCCTGCACTTTATCATCATAAGCCTATATATAATTGACAGAACTAACATTTGACACTTTGTTCTTAAGAAATAAAAATTTGGAAGTACTCACAGAGAATTTGAATTCCCAAATCATGATTACGCACACCATGATGTACTAAAAGACTAGCAATATTTAGTTATGAGCTGTTGATGGCATTTCAGACAGTTCTTCGTCTTTAAAACCAAGAATGTGTGAATTGGCATTTTGGAGTGGATTGAAGAAAAGATGCAAAAATAAAATTTTGTTGAACTGTGAGTAGCATATGAACTAGAATTACTGTAGAGAGAAAGTTATCAAAATAAGATGTCACAGAGATCAGACTGTGAGTTGCTCTTCCATCAAAACTTAACTGTTAGCTAGGGAAGAGACTAAAATGCACCTACTTCGCAAACAAGGACTACTAGTACTCCATGTGAAAGAATAGGGACAACTTTGATTCCAACGCCAAATATGAGGGACTAACTTGGGCTTTTTCTCTCATTGTATACAATTGTATAGTGCCCAAAATTTTAATATGCTAGTGCATCATTATTTTTTCATTTTGTTTCCAGATTATCAGCTCACAATCCCAGCTATGCTACCAGGAATAGTTTGACCAAATACATAACTCAACAAATACAATATGAATAGATAAATACATTCAGGAGTTGCAAAATATGTTAATAGTGTGTGGATGATGTTTATGTTTCGATGAAAAATCACATAGACACTGAGATCTCAGCCTTCGTTCATCTAAATTTATGGTGATACTATGTGATACAGTCTACTTCTCTGTAATGTTCCACAACACTAACAGCAGAACCAGTAAATAGGATTCTTACGTAAAAGAGGCAAAACCGGTTAAGAATCAAAATTTAGTGTTTTCAACAAAGATTTGACAAAAACCTTATCCCTACTAACAAAGCCAAACCCACAAGCCTAATCAGCCAACAAGAAGATAGTAAAAGAAAATTAACAACCACAGAACCATGAACTGAAAATAAAAATATTCTCCGGGCATTAACATTGTGTAAATTAATAATACACAAGAAATACTGCTAGTACAGGAGTTTTAAAATTATGTCCATATGGTAATTACCTGCCACTTACAAGGCAAGTAATGTTTTACTACTAAATACATAGTATAGATGGTGTAAATATTTTCATACTTAAGTGGACACTCATCAGTAAACCAAAAGCTAATCAAATCTCTACCAAGATTATGGAGGCTTTGCTACTATATGAAAATTTTAGAGACTGTGATAGCATGTGATAAGAAAACTACAGAAGAGAAAACTTTTTCTGACATTTTTTTCCCTAAATTAAGTTATAATGTGCAAGCAGAGCTCTTTAAAGGAGTCTCGTATTACATGCACTATGTCAAGCATTATTATCAAAGGAAAAAAAAACTGAGTGTCTAATGAACTTTTGAGTGCGGTAAGCAACCAAATTGCAAGCTTCAGTGAAAAAGGCAAGGATTAAGGAAATATGTAATTTCACACGTTTATAGATATATGTGGTATGCCGTGTGCGCGTAATTATATTTGTCTGTGATGGATGATATAAGTTCACCATAGCTTTGCTTATTGTATTTGTCAAACATTTTTTAATGTTTTTCTTGAGCCGAGGGTCTATCGAAAACGTCTTTACCTCTTTAAGGTCTGAGTACATCCCACCCTCCGCATACCCCATGTGTGGGATCACACTGGGTATATTGTTGTTGTTGATATAATTTTATTTTTTTTTATGACAAGGGAAACCCGCAGCCACTATCCTTTGGGTGTGCACATGGTAAAACGCCCGCCTCCTATGCAATAGCTCGCAAACCACATAGGAGAGGTAACCCACACTAGGCAAGCCTGGTGCGCCAAGTTCGACCCAGAAGGCAAACCCCTTGCTTTCGCTGGCCAGGGGTTTCAAACCTGATACCTCCAACATGGAAGTCCCAAAAACTTCAATCGAGTTCAAAAATCATACTCCCTCTATTTTAATTTATTTGTCTCACTTTTCTCTTTTAGTTTGTTCCAAAAAGAATGTCTCTTCCCAAGCTTGGCAACTCTTTAACTTCAATATTTCATATGACATGTTTAAAACCACAAGATAAAAGACATTTTGGCACATTATACAAATCGTTACTTTAAGACCACAATACAGGTTTGTTAGATCTGGTGCACCTTGTAGTTACAAGTTACCGATAAAGCCCTTGCTAGTGGGAAGGCAGAACTAGCATAACATTACTGATATCCTCGAGTAGGGATCTACCAATATGAATATTTAACTCCTTTATGAGGAGTTCACCGTTATTGGCTACTTTTTAAAGAGAAGGTCACACTGATTACATGATTCATCCTTGGAAACCTCCTAGACATAAGATTGATATGAAAGTGTTTTTCTGAGTTTATTTCTAAAAGTTCTCATTGATTTTGCTTACATAGATTGAATATTGTTACATTTCTAAAAGGACAGTGATTTCATCATTTTGATTATTATACTAGCATGTTTTTTGACTAGTCCCTCGTTAAAATGGTTGTGGTTTAGTGTATATTACTATTTGTGCTAGTGTCTCACTACTCATTTTATTTTACAGAGAATGCAAGTGACATGGGTAATGATTTCTTTAACTGGAGCTTTAAAGTTGATAATTCTTGGTGAGACCCGCACTTATTCGCGTGGACAACAGGCTTATTAGATGTTATAAACATTTGTTGGAATTCTTAGAGTTGCTCCATAGTCATTCCATTTACTATAAGTTATGAGTATTCGTTTGTATTGTAAACTTGTATCTAGTATGAGACTTCTTATGTTTTGGAGTTGGAATTAGTATTTTTACTCTTCGAATAGTCAATAGTCTATTGATGAATAAGGTGGATTATTGATGAGACTGATTGACTACGTTATTGATTTACAGGTAATTTTAGGATAGACCCAAAATCAGAGAAAACTCTGCCCGATTGCAGGGTAGAATTCTAGTTGAGGCTTGCTTTGGAATTCCTCCCCTTAGCGTCGGTCACGGTTCTAAATTGTGACATTTTTAGCGCATCTATAACTAATACTCTATTTTGAATTGACGAATGTATTGTTGTTACATGAAAATCCATGGGATTAGTAGTGCAAGGGGATTTAATGCATACATTAGCATGGTTAAAGACACAACTGCCCCTAAAAAATTTTACATCTTTCCCACCATATTTGTGGAGGGTATCTTTGTAAATAAATACTACTTTTTAAGAAATTATGCAATGCATGCTATTTTTAATACACCAAACCAAACAATGCATAATTAATGCAAGCATTACTAATATACTTTTTTAGGATTATCCTTATACACCCTATCAAACGACCCCTAAATATTTAGTTCCTCTGGTATTCTGAAAATATGATGAAGTTTCTCCATATTTTCCTGCTTAATTCAATTAATCAAAACATGTATAACATCACTAATTCCCTGAAATTCAAACAGACACAAAGCTTAGGTAGTCTTTCTTTAGTTGAAGAACATAATTTTCTGCCGTCTGGTATCTTAACCAGATCGAAACAAGGACAATGAGAAATGTCATACTAATATAAAGTTATCAATATTATAAACATTACATTTGACAGCTTACCTCTCGTGCCGCATCAACAGTTTTGCAAACAAATGTTGAACCAAATACGTACTCCATTGCACTCTGTAATTAACACAACACAAAACAGATGGATCCAAAAACTTTCAAGTCAGAAACCAGAGAAGCCCAATCAATAATGAGATATCACAAAGTTGGTATCATACACAGAAATTTCTGTTACAAATTTACAAGCTCAGAAACAAAGAATTACTGGTAGAGTAGGGCCATACTTTGAGTTCTTCATCATATCCAACTAGAGAAATTGCCACTTCAGCGTTGCCCTTCCCAACCTGTAAAATTAACACGTGTGTTCTAATAAAAGCACCAACTGATGGTCATTACATATCATGAAATTGCAGTAACTAACTAGTCTAGCAGCAGCATTTTGATGTCTTGGTGGAACAGGATAAGTTTGAATTTTGTTTAAGGGTATAATAGTCACTCTCTTCCTAAGACCGCCTTTTTGTAGAAGTTGTTTTCCTGTATCTTCTGTGTCTACCACAATATTAAACAACTTCCCTCCAGCAGCTACCTGCAGAAGATTTAATAATATGATGACACAACCAATATATTTATCAGCTATAGTAAACCCTTACAGGATGAGACTATTAGAGAACTAATGAAAAATATCATAATACATGTAATCCACAAACCTCTAGCGCAGTCATTGCAGAACTATTCTTCACTTTAATGAGTTTCGCGACAACGCCTTTCACCTTTGATCTATTAAAATTCTTCACTGGGTCACTATATGTGAAGTCAATATTGGACAGACGAGAGGAAAGAACGCGTATTTCATCTTTTAACTTTTGTATAGCCTCTACTTCAATGCCACGATCCTGATTTAAGAGACAGCATCAATCAACAACAAGAAAAACACAACGAATTTTAAAAATGACTTTTGTATGAGTAGATTGGATTTTGGGGGCATCCAGAGAGAGACGTACACTTTGTAATAAATCCATCTGCTCCTCTTTGAATGAAAGAGATTCCAAAGCTTTTTGAAGCTTTTCCACTTGCTTCTTCCCATTGTTAAGCTCATTTTCCACTGCAGCAGCTTCTTCACGCTTTGATAATAGCTGGGTTTTCTTCTCTTTTAGCTCTTTCTCACAATGGTTTACTTTTGTTTGCAACTGTTTCAGTTCTGTTTCAGCATTTCCAACTTCTACTTTGGCATCGGCTAGTTGTTCTTCAAGGCATTTCTCCTCATTCCCACTACTCTTACCGGCCAACACACCCTACAAGAGAAAAAGGATGAGCTGATAGAGATGTGATAGGATTTAATAGGCATTGTGCAGTTATCCCCACAAAAAATCATATATGCTGACCTGGTACTCCTTTTCATGTGCTTCAAGACTAATAGAAAGTTCCTCAGCTCTTTTCTTGAGGTCTGATGCTCCTTCTTCAGCCTTACTTACAGCAGCTACCTTTTCTTCTGCTGATTGCTTCAATTCTTCGAGATTTTTCTTAATCTGTAATGTCAGTGTATCATTATTAAATCCAAGGGACATAATAACAATGGAGCTTAAGAACAGAGAAGTAACAGAAAAATACAGTGAAATCTCTGACAGGGAAGAAGGAAAATTATAAACAGGCAAGGCTGAGAAGTATGAAGTTCTGACCTTTACACAATTTTTTTTCTCAGTTTTTAGAATGTCCTCTTGATTTTTTAAGAAGGATGTTTCCTTCACCACATCACATGAAAGAGCATCAACCTTTTCAGTCAAAAGCTTCATCTCCCCACCCATATTTGCATCTTTCTCAGCTTGCAATTCTGATGCTCTCTTTTCCATTTCCTGTATCTCTTCCTGCATCTTTCCCACATTACTATCAATTTCAGTAATCTTAGACTTCATACCTTCTAAACCCTGTATGGCATCAGCCATAACTTTTTCAGCTTGAACATACTCATAGGCAATGCAAAACCGTTTAAGTCTGTCCAATTCTGCATTTCCATTCGCCCATTGCATATACTGCATCCTCTCTTTCCTCAACTTCTCCAAAGCAGGAAGAATTTCCTGATCTAAGAGCTTGTCAATATCATCAACTTTACTTTGTTTCTTTTCAAGAGTTTTGAGGGCAGCTTCTTTCTTTGTCTCGTACATTCTTGTACCAGCGGCTTCTTCAAGCATAGACAAGATTTCAGGAGGTTTCATGTTCAAGACTTTTGTTATGCGCCCTTGCATAATAAGAAAGTGTGGATTGTTTACATTTAGCTGCACAGAGTGAAAAAGATTCTGAACTCGATTTGGCTGTGCAAGGTGCCCGTTGATCAGATATTTGTTCCTTCCACCAACTACAATCTGCAAATATATGATCATTGATTGATTAACACAGTAGTCTTGCGAATAAAAGCAGATATTAATAAAGGATGAGTAGAAGAAGAGTTCAGTCTTTGACTGCATTTTTATGCAACGGTTATTGATTTCAAATGGATTAGGAATTAAAAGAGAAGGGGAAGAGCAAGATCCTTGACTTCTCCTTAACTTCCAATCTAACCAATCAGTTCCAAGTCGGATCTTGCTATCTTCTATTTAACACGGAAGTACTATCTACTGACAGATATAATATGCTCCCTCCATCCATGTTTTACTAGTCCACTATCCTGAAACTAGATGTCCATTTTTACTTGTCGAGATTAGAAAGCCAAGAGATAATTTATCACTTAGTTACTAATTAACCCTTACTAATAACTATAGTCACTTCGAAAGCATTGCATTTATTATGTTCAAATGGTAATATGGTAAAATTATCATTCTATTTACGGCTTCTAAAGGGTGTGTCAAGTCAATGTTGGACAACTAAAAATAGACGGAGGGAGCAATGTAGTAAACTCATTGTAGGATTTTTCACCTATAAGCATGGTTAAGCCTGATTAGAAAGAGAAACGGGGGCATGAGCTGGTTTACATAACAATGTGCACAATAGAAGCCCTAATATCCTGTAAACAGCCCCAAAACCAGTCATGTAATTGAGTTGGCCACATTTAAATTATTTGAGAACTCACTAAACAATTCCAAATAATAAAAGCCAGTAGCAATATTCTTTCGGCAATAAAGATACAAGCTCAATCCTTGGTTTGCACCAATTGAAGAACTGCTTTTGATATGTCCAGGGAACTCTTTCAACAGTTGTATGCAAATTCTGCCACATATACTAACTTATTAGTGACATTCTTACTGCAAAATTGTAACCACGTCCAAATTCGTAGAGTCTAAAATGGCTGCATATTCAAACATCAAGTTCAACTTCAAAATGAAGATTTTCACAACTATGAACCCCATTAGCTAATTATACATATTTTCTCAACCAGAATAAGAGAAAATGGAAGGCACCTGACGGGTAACAGTGATCTCGGCACAATCTTCATATCCCAAAGGACTTCGACTGCGGTCCGAATTATCAAACACAACGGACACAGTAGCTTTAGTAATTCCAGCTTGGCCTTGCTTGTACACCAACTCCTGCAGATTAGAAGCCCTAACCTGCTGCAAATTCGTAATCCCTAAAACAAAGCAAATAGAGTCCAAAATATTGGATTTCCCGGACCCATTCAAACCTGTTATTGCATTGAAAAACGGATCGAAACCCGAGACGACTGTTCTTGTTGCATATGACTTGAACCCTTCCAAGCAAATTTCTTTGACATGCATGGTCACTGAGAGCTAGGAGTTCCCAGAGAGAAAATCAAAACCCTAGAAATGAAAAGTAAAATAGGGCTTTGGAGATCAAAACCCCTACTGTTTACTGAAGAATAATTAGAGAAAGAAAAAAGCTTTTTTGTTTGAACTTTGAAGATGTGGGATGATAAATTAATCCCAATTGGGGGAGCTTTAAGGCGGGAAAACGGATTTTTCAACACATTTTCTATTTTTGAATTTAAGGGCTCCTATTTGTTGTTAAAAGAGCATTTAATTATGTCGGGTCGACTGATTTTGGGCCTGGGGTTGGCTTTCCAAGCCATTTTTTTGGGAAGTAAATATACAATATTAAGAAAATATTTATCATTTATAGCAATAATAATTTTTTTCACTTAATCAGTTTTAATACATTTATGATACAATTTTAATTCATATTACAAAAAACAGTTTACTAAATACATATAATACAAGTTTAATATATATATACTGTATACATAATTTACTTTTAATACATACTACTGATTTATCATATTATTATTATTTATTGCTATAAATGATAATAAATGAAAAATATCACTAAAATTAGTAATTATTTATTAAAATGTATTCATTGATGTAATTTTTCCTTAGAGAATCTAAGTCATCACTATTAGCCTAGTTTAGCATAAGTGGTCTACATCATATCTAGTTTTCGATATTATAATTTTTAATCATAATTCAAAAAAGGAATCAAACTCTTTCTAATTTTTTTTTAGCATTAGAAAATAATCCAATTGCTTATTCACATAATTTCTTCTTTAAAATTTCAAATTCCTTTCCTTTTTCCTGAGCAACAAATTTTTTTCTCAGACATACATATAATCTTATCTCATATACATAATATTATTACATATACATTTTACTATCATATTAGAATATATATTAGCATATTTTGTTAGATATATGTACACCTCATCAGATAGTCTCCCCTTTGTCACTCTCTTCTCTTCGATCAGAGACCAACATCACTGTGTTACTCATCTTCTCATCACCTTGAACCGTCATCTTCAATGAAAGCTTTACCAAAACAACGGAGAAACATGTGATCCGTGTTGCTCTTTGCTTCACCTATAAAAACCCGGTGAGCCATCAAAATTCAACAATACTCATCTCCAATAGATATCAAAGAAACGTCGATAGTTTTATTTGATGTAAAGTAGTAAATTAGGGAGACAATTAAATGAAGTGGGGCTTTATTATAGACTGTTTTTAAAGAGTGATATATCTTAATGCATGTAACTCCAAATTTAGTACATAATGAAAGAGTGAGATAATTGATAATTATTTGAAAGTATAAATAAAATTAGTAAATATGATATGTCCAATTATGTAATTTTTCCTCTAAAAGTTCAATTATAATTAACACTTAACTCGCTATAATTAATAAGGTAAAAATCAGAAAGTAAGAATTGATATTTCAATACATGTGTCTTTGGTCTCTCCTTTTTCGCTTTCTTACATTGAATCATTTCTATATCATATAGTATTTCTATATGAATTTGTTTGATTCTTCTAAGTGATCAAGTTTCCTTCAAAGTCAACTTGGACTTTTGTAAAAAGAAAATGCTGATTTTATACGATTCTTTACCATTATCCACAAATTCTAGATTAATATTAAAGTGATTATTTTATAATCATTAGTTTTGGGTAATGATAACTGTGAGATTAAGAAATTCATAAATTTTATATGCATTGAAATTATAATCCATTTACCAATTTGTTTGGAATGGACTTGTTATCGATTATAGTTATTTAAACATGGTTATATATTCTTATGATCATCAAACTGATAGATTTCTCCAAGACAACTGTTTAAAAATTCAAAAAAATTAATCATGCCTGTTTCACAGACAGCATATGCAATACATATCCGGAGTGAAGCAAACAGATTTTGAGCGCAATGATTTTTATTTTTTTTTACATTACAAGTACATACCTGTTGTAGCAGCTAACCTGCGTTATTTCCCAGGTTAGGCATCTATTTTTTTATGACAAATACTTAGCTGATCTAATAATGTAAAAAAATAAGTAACACTGAGGTTTCAAAACTGAAACTAGTAACAATCAGAAAAACCATTTTGGTCTCACTTCTAATTCCTCCTCTGTCAACTCCCTGTAGTCGTACCACTGTCCTCCTGCTTTGCCCACAGGCATAGGAGATCGAACAAAAATCTCTACTGGCTTCGGAACATGGACAACAAAAGCTAGCTCTCCAGCTGTAACTTCTGAAATTGGATTAGATACTCCGGCTGATTTATTAACTGGTACAACGGAAAACCATCCAAGACCAGATATAGCCACATCGCAGGTAGGTCTATACCGACAAATTAGCAACAACAAAAAAAGGCATATCAGGCATCTACACAGTGTCACACTTTGTGATATATGAATGTGCTCACCTCTCAATATCTTCATACTTAATTTGTAACTGCCGCTTTGTTTCAAGTCCCATCCAGTCATCTGCCTTTCCTTTTCCTGTCGGAGGTGTCAATAGAACTCCGAGTTCTTTCTGCAATAATGAGAGATGTTTCACGTGCAAAGTACGTATAGAAAAAAGATCTAAAATACATCCGTTCTATAATGATCTCTAAAGGGATTTATACAAAATTGGCAACTCTACCTACTATAGATGCCCATAATGAAATTATCATGAAGGTAAGAGCAAGGGGTTGGAACAAAAAAAAACAAGAAGCCATGAATTCTATTACTTTTCCTTCATTCAACTCTTCTTCTTTATAAAAAAGAAAATAAACACAGAAGAAAACTTTCATACTTTTTTCAGTTCTGTATTTGTGAGTGCAGTGCTTTCCTTTTTTTCTTTTTACATTGTCATCCACAACCCAAAAAGGTCAAAGGTCAATGGTCAAAGACCACCTAGTATAAAATACAAGTTTGGAATTACCTGGTAGAATTCATCTGCTTCTTCAGTAGCCACTACATGAATTTGCAACGCCTTGGGTCCATAGAATGTCAAACAAGTCTCTGGGAGAACCTGAAGTAATATTAAAGTCCACCAATTTAAAATGACTGATTGGGACTGCTTATATATGCAAAGGAGACAAGTTTTTTGTGAGAAACCTTAAAAATGTCAATTCGAACAAGGCCTCCCCAAAATATTGATAATCCACTCAAGCCACTTGATCTCATTCGGTTAGCTATCTGCGAGTCCAAGTTTCGCCCAGAACTCTGTTACATTAGAAAACCAGGAAAAAGAGAGAAATAGTGAATACACGTCAAGTTTGATGACATCAAGATCTCTTAAAGCAAATGTTGGAGAAAGAGCATACTGGAAAAACTTGACCCCGAAGACGACTTTGAGGAGCAAGAGTAGGGAGATCTTCCGCGTGAATAACTGCAGCTTGCCTATGATGAAGATGAACTCCAGGGGTATCATACAATTTCTAAATAATATAAAGGGCATAGAATCTGTTAAAACCACATACATTGGAAGAGCTATCAATCTATTAGGTATTCATCTTTTAACATTGGAAATTAAACAAAAAAAATAAAAATAAAGACAAGAAAGTAAAATCAATCAGTAATTAGTGTGTCAGACATTAATGACAATAGTGGTGACTTCGATTAATTTGATTAGCTATTATGAATCTTTATCATTTTATTCATAAAGGTTTTGTCATCAGCATGTGTAGATATGGTTTCCTGGGCTTCATTTGAGACTCAAAAAAAGTTCTGAGCAGCTTGGCTTTTGGTCGAATGAACTAGTCTAGCAGCTTTCCAGTGTCAAATTAATAATTTAAGCATTAGGGGGAAAACATTCTCAACCTCAGATTAAGTTCCACAAGTATCATAGAAGTTAGATAGGACCTCTTTCTCTTTTAAGATTCAAGAACTTCACTTTTAACTTTCCCTTGCACCCAGTAATTCAAACACTGTTTTAGATTATCACATAAAGAAGTTGGATGATCATTTGCTACAGTGAGGTACACTTACTTCACCACCAAGGAAAGCATCAATTGGGATTGGACCCAATGTCGTTCCGGGAACAGCTGATTGTATTGGTTTGTGTTTCCGTGCAGAGGCTGCAACTGGGTCCTTATATGACATTGTATCTGATTACAGTCATAGTAAGATACCAATAGCAGAGACAAAAGGAGGAGTGGACAAAGCAATGAAAGAGCAGATTTAAAGGACGAGCATGCATTAAAAGAACTGAAAATTACAATTCCCAGTTGCCATTATTTTGCTAGCACATTAGTCCAGGTCAAAGCAAGACTTCATTGGAAAATTGAAGTGACCATCACTTGGTAAAATTATACATTAATAATCTATCAAATTGAAGAAATTGATAAGCTAAATTCATAGAATGTTGTTGGAAGTAACAGAAGAAGTACATCTACATATTAGGTTATGTTGGTTAGGCAGAGTTGTTGATAGGATATTTCTAGTGATTCCACAGAACAAAATTCCAATTTGAGACAAACTCTATGACCAGAGATACTAAGACCTACTCTTGTCTGAAGTGACACAGGGAAAAAAAGAGCACAAAATTACAGAAATTGTAGACAAATCTATGGGTTTATGAATTGCAACTCGGGTACTGCATTTGACCCTCCAAAGAAAAAACACTTAAAGGAACTAGACCCTATGGACAAAATAATCCACCAACAGTGTGATGAATACAGAGGCTCATAAATGACTTACTTAACAGTGCATTGATGAATGCAGATTTTCCCACGTTTGCTGAGCCCTGAAAAGTTAATAGCACTTGACATTTGCATAAATTGATTCCAAACAACTATGTATTAAATTGAAGAATTAACAAAGACACAGCACAACACAAGAAAATGTGACTAATCATCAAATTGAAATTTCAGTACTAACCAGAATGTATACATCCCTTCCCTGCAGGAAAATACTAACAGTAGATTAGTAAGCTGTAAAATAGTGTGAACAAATGGAATTCAAGAGTAAAGCCTGCAATATGTTTGTAACAGCAGGAACAAAGTTCCTTGACAAAGAAATAAAGATCCTTCCAAATAGAAACAATAACGTTCACATAATAGCTGAAAGAACAAACAATTAGGTTTTGATCTCACTAATACTGGACAGACTAGATCCAAGAATTGAGTAATGATCACGCGACATCTAATTTTATGAGAGAACTAACAAGCCTTCAATACAAATTACTAGCAAGATGGACTAACTTTTACTTGAAGAGATCGATTTGATTTTATTGTCTTTATCACTACATATCCAGACACAATCTCATTGATACTTAAGTTCATCCAGTCTCTGTCTAAAAAGATCCATCACACAGAATCATGAGACACATCCATTTATTATCAGCTGATTTAGTAATGGATGAAGTAGCATAAGCCATGAAATGTAGTTTTAGCAAAAATGAGATTTTTCCTTTGGAGATGCTTAATGAGATTCTGTGAGAATGGACTGATCAGCATCCAAAAAAAGATGCACTGTGAACGTCCTATTCACATATAAGGAGCTCGTGATGGTAATTTATTGCCTTTTACTTCAAGTGAAAGTTGGTAAGTGTCAAGATAACTTTAAGAAGAAACTGCATGAATATGTATATATCAAAATTCATATTTTCAAACAATAGACGTACAACACCAAGGCAGTATTACCCAAAATGGACAGGTGTAATCTTACATCTTCATAGACAAGAAACCAACCTTTTTCTCATGAATATGTATATATCAAAATGCATATTTTCAACCAGAGTATAATACCAAGGCAGTTTTACCCAAAATGGACAATTGTAATCTTACATCTTTATAGAGAAGAAACCGACCTTTTTCTCCTTTTGGATTTCTGCCACCACCCCAGAGATTCCAACCAATGATTTTGAACTTGTTAAATGAACACTCAGAACACTGCAAAGTGGAGCATACTATTTCAATTTTTTATGTCATCTTTTGTTCTCGAGATTAGAAGTCGGATATGATATTTACATTAACTACAATCACTAACTGATATTACTAAACAGGAGAGAAATAATCAAATTACTACAAAGTGAACATGACCTACAAAAAGATCACACTTAGGCAATACTGGTAGGAGATGGCTAATTGACAATGAGGATCTCAAAAGAAGCACACCAACTAATTAAAGCTGAAGCTATAACTTCCATTGCACCAAATGAGTCAATAATATAAAGGATACATAATACACCTCAAACTTACTTAAGCTTCTTCTTCATTGTGGCCTCCACAACCCAGTCACCAACACAATTAAGATCAGTATCTTTTGGAAGAAGATCCACCTTAAGAAAGTGAAATAGAGAGTACAAAATATGTTACTTGGAAATATACATATTTTGCCTTAACTGCATATCACTTAGTTGCTATTATTACCTTAGTTATAACCAAAATTATGGGATTTGCACCAGCAAGATCTCGGACACGAGCCAAAAAACTTCCATTGAAGTCTACAATATCAACCTACAGACGGTGATCCATGAAGGTATAAAGAGTGCAGGAAACACAAATAAACAAGGTTTAGTAGTCAATGACATGAACTGAAAAATGAGAACCAACAATCATATTTCTTTAACATAGTAATCAACACCAGTGCTATCAACCTTAAGACTGAAATACAAGCTTTCACAAGGTTGGACGGCACTTCTTCAATCCATTAGATAAGAGGTTAATTTATCCAATATTGTTGATTGATGAAACCTTTGCTCATGAGTGACTTCATTGCAAAATGCACACATGTATTACTTAGCATAAAGAATATATTTTTTTCATGGCAACAACACTTCATTTTTAACAGGAAAAATGATACTTTAAATTGTTATCATCCATTAATTACTCTTGGTTGCAAGGCTGTTCAGCTTTGTCTAAGATTCCTAATGTGCAGATACTAAGCCCCAAGATGAGCCGGAGGCCTACAAATTCAATGCAGGACAAATATAACCATTCAAATAGGACAGTGAACATATAAATAAAGCATATTATCAAGTAATATTCCTATAGTGAGAGTCATCGTAGTGAACCATTTGAGTTAGTTCACTCTGATGTACGGGATGAATTAGTCTAAATAGAATATAGAAAACTGACTTAGATATTCAATCAATATATTATTTTAAACTACATTTATACAATCTTCAGTTTAAAAACTCAAAATGGCAAAACTCCGGCAGCACCTCAGATTACAACATCATTAAGAAATTACAAACAAATTGGAGTCGTTTTTCGTTTTTGCTTACCAATTTAACAATCAAAGCTTTCTCATGGCGCACATGAGACAACTTTTCTCGAAGCTCTTCTGCTGTAACAAATTGCTTTCCTCCAGAATAACCTCCATTTCCACCTACTGCAGTTATCATGTGCCCATGAGACAATAGACGACACCGTCCACAAAGAATTTTACGTAATTGATGATGTTTCTTTTTCTGTCATCCAACCAAAAAATTAAATGAGCTAAGGCATCAACAGTAAACTTATACATTTCATATCTAGAAAACAACAGTAGCAACCAAGTTTAGTGAATATGATACTTAACTAACTTAAAATTTTCCGGATAAAACTCCCAAAATTAAAGAGACCTTATCACAAATACATAGAACGCATTCATTAGAAAATTTTAATACCAACTCGTATGTCTCCTGGTCAACATAACCTGGAGCATCCACTTCCGATGTGTGTAACGGAGCTCCACAGCCGTAACAGCAAGGAGCCAATTTGGAAATTTTAAAGATATTATCCTTCTTCTTTTTCTTCTTAGTTGTGGCTAGCACCGATGAAGATGCAGCGACGACCTGTTGGCGTTGTAGATATATGTCACCTCGGGTTGGGGCGGCAGCTCCATAGCCCTCGGGTTCGGATTCTGAGATAGTTTGGGGTTCAGTGGATTTGCAGAAGATAAGGGTGGGTTTAGTAGTGTGATATCTGTAGAGGTTGAGGTTACTAGAGGAGGAATTGGGTATAGAAAATGGGCAAATGGAAGATAAGGAGGATAGAGCTAGGAGTTTAGGCGCCATTGTTAATTGTGAAAGAAAGCTCGAACGAGAAGGATATTGAAGAGATATTATTTTATGTACGGTCACTTCTTTGACTAATGTTGACCCTAATTTCTTTTTTTTCGTCTAATGAAAAAGATATCTGTCTATTTACAACTTAATAATAATTTTATCTAAATTTATGTATTACTTCTGTCGAGTAAATTTTATCATCACACAATTATGATATATATACAAAAATTATTTTCTTCTTAAATAATTGTATGAACAATTATACTATTTAAGTCTTTGCTTGGCATGAGCACATTGTAGGTGTACTTCAAAATTGATACTGATAATATTTTAAACTTAAAAGAGATCCAATTAAGTTGTCAGTTTTTCTTAATTAATTTTTTGAATTTTTTTTATAATATGTGAATATTATGAATAATTATAAGCATTTTATTCAAAAATATGTTCTGAATTTGTTATCTGTCCATCACATTATTCTAATAAAATGAAAAATATTTGTGAAATATATAAGAATTGTGAAATCGAAATAAATGTTTTTTAGAAAATTGTGATATGATATTTTAACTAATGCTAAGCAATATTCTAATTCTATAGAGCTTATAAAATAACGTATTTTTTTAATCATTTGGTTAATTAGGAAGGCTAAAAATTCAAAAAGTTTTAATTGGAAATTTCTGAACCTGAAGAAATTATAAATGGTTTTTTTTTTATTTTCATGCATATGATACTTGTTTGTATTAAATATTAAACTCATAACATAAATATAATCATGGCACAAAATGGCATTATTTTGTTTGCATATGCTAATTTACACGAGAAGAAGCAAGCATTGATGTAGCCGCTATGGATTGTTGTGGCAACTTGCTTCAAGCTTTTAGCATCTCAATATGTCACAAAAGTCATTACCGTTAAAGCAATTACAATCAGTTTGGTAGTACATAAAGTTGGTTCATTTTATCCGATAAATGTGATAGATATGGTCTAAATAAGTTTTATTTGTTAGTCGCATAAAGTTCACTCTTTAAATTTTTTTACGCATTAATATATCAAGGTTATTGGTTGTTAAAAATAAAACAAGAATTTGATTAGTTTTTTTAGCACGAGTAAAAATAATTCTATTTCATATCTTTAGAATTTAGAATTATAAACGGTAGAGAAAAGTTTGAACACTTTGATTAATTATCTGAATTGTGAGTTAAATTCAAAACTGCAATCAGACTGCAAATGTGGTCACATAGTGTGTAAATAACATCAAATGTTCATACCATTTTTTCTAGTTGTGTCCATCCCATTTACTGCTTCCCCTCCCATAAACTGGAATTGTGGTCACATAGTTGGGACCTTTAGGATTCAGCGCATAGCGGGAGCTTTAATGCATCGGACCGTCTTTTATCTTCTTTCATCCTATTAGTTTTATGGTCCCCTTCTGAGGAGTCCTATGTTGGATGATAGTTGTGGTCGAAGGCGGAATTTACACAAATCTTTAAATTGACAATAAAAAAAAAATAACAAAGAAGGATATTTGAAGAACCTTAATTCACAAAAACAACTAACTAGTGTATGATTAAGCTCTAATAAAGAGAAGGCAACAACATCCTATTTTATAGACTAACAAGAAGTAATACATACATACACACACAACAATAGCAAAATAAAAATAAAAATGCAGTACTTAAACAGCAACAATTCCACCACCTATTCCCCTCAAAGACTCAGTCACTTGTAAAGGGAAGACCACATTATCATACACAAGTCCTGCTATAGCTGCACCAATGAAAGGTCCAATCCAGTACACTGCTTGATTCCCGAAGCTCCCTTTGACAACAGCAGAGCCAAATGAGTAAGCAGGGTTCATCGATCCCCCAGTAAATGGCCCCGAAGCCATGACGTTTGCTCCCAACATCAGGCCAATTGCCAACGGCCCAATCGCTGCATGGACGCACCTCCTAGGATCAGCAGCTGCATAAACTGTGTACACTAGACCAAATGTCATCACGCCTTCGAGTACTGCTGCTCCAAAACCAGTCATCTCTTGGGGAATTCCATGTGTTGGGACTTGCTGCAATGAGAGAAAATCAGCGTACCTTTAATTATATATCAGCAAATTAAAAGGAAATTGATCTGATCATGGAATTCTCAGTAAATTACAGAATGTTTTGTTCTTCCACTAATCCAGCATACACAAACAAGTAATTGAAAATTCGACCCGACTCAATTTCAAAAGTTCAACTCATCATTGAGAATTGCGCCAGATCTCAATCAATGTGACAGGAAAAAAATGATAAAAAGACTACTCGAGTATACAAATTAAGTAACCTGATTAGTGAATTTGAGAAGAAGGCAAGCGGTGACAGAACCAATCATTTGAGAAATCCAGTAGAATATAGACATGGGAATACTTATATGGCCTCCTACGGCCATTCCAAACGTGACAGCGGGATTCACGTGCCCTCCAGAGATATTGGCTGATATATACACTGCAACGGACAAAGCAAATGCATTTGCAACTGCAATTGCCACCAGGCTAGATGGATCTGATGTCGCATCAGGCACCATTTTCCCTGTGATCACATTACACAACACACTTAAAAAGTAGAGTAAGAGAAAATTGTAGAATTAACTTATTAACTAAAATAAGAAGAACATACTGGTGGACATGGAAGCACCGGCAGCGGCAAAGACGAAAAAGAAAGTTGAGAGAAACTCAGCGAGATAGGATCTGAGGGCATTGGGAGTGACAGAGTGTTGCAAGCGGGAAGCAAGAGACGCCATTAATTGATACTAGTCTTATCAGAAGAATTGAATTAACTAAGAGAAGTTCAATTGGCTCTAAATCTCAAATCTCTTACAGACGGTTTCGGTGGTTTCCAAATGGTTATATAGGATTTTCAGAGAAGTTACTGATACCGTTCAAATATTATTAACCGCCAATTACAGGTGTGCTTCACTGTTGGGCTATTTCATATAGAATTTAGGAAAAAATTTATATATGGCAAAATGAATTTATCAAATACGGTATAGTTTAGTTTGTTATTTAGCTTTTAATTTGTATAAAATGTTTTCTTAAAAATTTTGTAGCATATTTTACTTTTTCATTAAATAATAACAGTATCCCTAAATATGATAACGAACATTTACATAAATCATAATTTAAGCTAAACATTCAAAATCAAATATTTTTTCAAAAGAGGATTCTATGGCGACAGAAAGACTATACAAACTTGTTTTCGAGAAACTAAACTCTTTAATGTATATAAAATTTATGTAAGAATGTAAATAAATTGAATATAAATTGTTTAATTTATACCAAATTATAAAGTAATTATTATATACACATACAAGTAATTGTATATGTATAAAATAAAAATATGAATATAGTACTTGTATATACACAAATTCCTCAAGCAGTTTTGTATATAATAACGTAAAATACAAAAAAAATGAGATTTAGAACAAATTATTGCACAAATAATTGTACTAAATTTTATAAAGTAATTACTTATATACATATATAAGTAGTTGAATATACAAAAAATGCATATGTATAAAAAAAGTTTATGTACGAATCTAAATAAAATGAATATAAAAATATACAAAAAATTGTATATGTATAAACAAAATTATCTACAAATATAAATAAAATGAATATAAATTGTTTGATTTGTAACAAATTGTAAAGTAATTATTATATACATATACAAGTAATGGTGTATGTATAAATAAAAATATAAATACAGTACTTGTATATACACAATATTCAAGCAAGTAATTCTTACGGATGGAGACGAATCTTCCATTCTAATTTTGAAGAACTTGTAATTTGATAAGAAAAAAAAGATTTTTTTAAAATTTTTTTTATGAAAACTAAGAAGTATAATACATATACAGCTATTGATGAAGGAATTTTTTTAAAAAAAAGAATAATATCATGGGTTGATTTTGGCGATTACCTGCGAAAATTGAGAGCAACACAGAAAGGAAAACGTGAAATCTTCCTAAATTTGAAATTTAAATAAAGCGGAGGAGTGATTTTAGGAGAAAGAGATGTAATGCGGATAGGAGAGATAAAATTAATTTTGTATAAAATTATATATAGAAAATCATAAATAAGTCTTTTATTGGTATACAAATTGGTGGATCCTATTAATTATGGCAAAAAAATGAAACTATAACCATTGAGAGTAAATAAATTAAACTATACCCTTATTAATTAATTACTTATTGTAGTTTGTCATCTCACGTAATTTTCCCTAAAATGTTGTGCTAATCAATGCAAAAGTTCAAAATCTACGAGTTTTATGTCATAATAAACATAACTTAGCTTCTAGAATTTGTGTCGAGTGAGACAAAAATTTAGTTTTAGAATTCACAAGTTATGTCGTATTAGACATAATTTATTCCTATGGAACCAATTTTTTCTTATGCTAAATGAACTAGATAGTTGATACTAAACAATTTATATCCGGTAACTTAATTTTCATACAAATTGAATAAGGAACAAGTTTAGTTAAAAATATCTGACCCACAATTTTCATTAAATAATTAACGAGAAATTTTTTTTAAGAGTCGTGATAATTGAGAAAAAATAAAAATCACTCTAAAATTGAGACAATCAATTCAAAAACTAAAATTTTCACTCATAAAGCTGGGTAACTAGATGATGTCGACAAATAAAGGTAAATCAAAGGTAACATAAATTAATTCACTTTTTAATAAAACAAATAATATTATTAGATATTAACACGGATAAAACACAAGTATTTTTCGACTGTGAGTAAAATTTCATAAGTACATCTTAACAAAATTAAGATTCGATTATTCTACTGAACTCATTTTTAAAAAAAATATTCATATAACCTTTGGCTTATGCAGCACATGCCGTGACTCCTTGTAGTTATAGCCGTGAGAGATGTGGGATATCACTGTAATCATTTAAAATTTATTAAATATAAATTTATAAAATAATTCGGATTATATTGAATTCATAAATATATTAATCCAAAAAAATATTGTGGATTGATATAATTGACTTAAATATTTAAGTCCAATAAATACAGATTTAATTGAAGTCTAAATTAATTGATTTGGGCTACATTGGATGAACCCAATTTGTTAAACCCAATCCCATCTCATTCTCGAGCCCATCTTGGCGCCACGTGTGCAGATGATGTGACATGCCAAGTCAAATAAGAAAACCAATAGAATCATGACATGTGTCAAAGATGACAAGTCCGCTCCATAAAACACATATGTCATGTCACTTAAATCTGATTGGCTGAACGCAATCCTATTCCAATCGCAATTCCTCTATTCTAAAACTATAAATAGGGGTCCTCATAATTCAGAAAAGGGACAGAAAATTCTAAACAAGAAGCTAGAGAAACTTCGTGGTACAAACGCCATTTAATTCTCTACAAAGCTACAAGTTTAAGAATTCAAGTTCAAGAACGATCAAGATCAAGACCACCGAATTCAAGAACAAGCTCGAAGCCCTTGAATTCAAATAAAATTCAAGATCAAGATAAAGTTCAAGTTCAAGTTCATCATAGATTCAAGAACAAGCTTTAAAGCCCTTGAATTTATATTTGAAAAGGCGAATTCAGAGAAATTATAGAGATTGTAACACTCGCACTTGAAATAATAAAACGATTGTTGTTATAATTTTCCGTTCTTGATTATTGTTTTCACGACGCGAATTTTATTGTCTACAAATTTTGGCACGCCCAGTGGGACAATCTCTACCTCTCATCTCAACTTTTCAAACGTCAAAGAATATCAAGATGACTTCCATGAAAAACAACTCTCCATTAACCGCCTTTAAGGTCACTAGCTCTAAGTTCTCTACTGAAGTTGAAGACATCCTTGGTGTTACATTTGGAAGTTTTGGAGCTGTTACGAGAAGCAAGGCTGCTACACTAGGACAACAAACGCTTCAAGTGTCGTCTGCGTCAACTCCTATTTTTGGGTCTTCGACTCCAAAAGGAGCAAGTTCCTCCACAAATACTCTAGAAGGAGGAAGTAGTGCTGCTGAAAAGATCAAGAAGACATTGGCTCTACTTGAGCAATCTGGTTCCAAGAACTCTACCACAAGGGAGAACTGTGATTCAACTTATGAATCATCTCCATGTATATCGTGTAACACAACTCCACTGAAAAATTAACTTACATGACAATCCATGTTACTATCCTGCATCTCCGATGATCATGAAAATGATGGTGACTGTTCCTTCCTCTCCTGAGGAACAACTCGCAAATTTGACACAATTGGTTGAAGGATTGACAAAGCATGTACAACACCAAAAATCTTGAATTGACAAGTTGATGGACAGGATAGAAGGACTTTTAGATGGAAATGCGAGCCATGCACATGGAAAGGGCATTGAAGTTCAAGAAATCGAAGATCCTGCTAAGAAAGCCCGTTTGTTAAAGAGATGCCAGTTTCTTCTGAAGGAATGATCCCACTCGATTGTTTGAAGGAGTTTATTGAAGTCACTATCAAAGATAAGTATGAAGTCTCCACCAAGTCTTCCCATATGTATGCTAAACTATACACTGCTAGGATTGATAACTTTAAAATGCCCGCTGGTTATCGACCTCCTAAATTTCAACAATTTGAGGGAAAAGAAAATTCGAAACAACATGTCGCACACTTTGTGGAGACATATAATAATGCTGGAACATATGGAGACTATCTTGTCAAACAGTTTGTCCTCTCTCTAAAAGGAAATGCATTTGATTGGTACACGGATCTCGAACCTAACTCTACTGATAGTTGGGAGCAACTAGAACATGAGTTTCTCAATCGCTTCTATAGCACAAGGCGCACGGTGAGCATGGTAGAAATCACGAATACTCTCCAAAGGAAGGATGAACCGGTCATAGATTTTATAAATCAATGGAGGAACACGAGCCTAAATTGCAAGGACAGGCTTACTGAAGCTTCTGGAATCGAAATGTATATTCAAGGAATGCACTGGGAGCTTCTTTACATCTTGCAAGGAATAAAACCAAAATGTTTCGAGGATTTAGCTACTCGCGCTCATGATATAGAGTTGAGCATGTCATCTGCCGGAAAAGATATGACTATTGTCCATGATCCTCGCAAAGGAAGGGACAAGCAGGAACCCAAGAGATGGAGCAAGTTTCAACCCAGAAATGACAACAAAGAATCCATGAGTGTAAATGTGTCACCCGCAAAGTTCACCACGAATGAGGGCGTAAAACAAAATGTGAGAACGACTTTCCAAGCACGTTCTAATCAAGATTCAACGCTAAGGGAGATGCAAGGAAAAAAGTATCCCTTCTTGGATTCTGACGTTTCTGAAATTTTTGATGAATTGCTTGAGTTAAAGCTCATTGACTTGCCAGAGATGAAGCGACCCGATGAAGCTGGAAAAAATGATGACCCAAATTATTGCAAGTATCACAGACTTGTGAGCCATCCTCTTGAAAAATGTTTTGTCTTTAAGGATAGAGTGATGCGATTGGCTAACGAAAATAAAATTATCCTTGATGATGAGAAGGCTAGTTCTAACCAGACCTCTATCACGTTTGGGTCACTGGATCCGATCCAAATATATATCTCTGAAAAGCATGAAGAAGAGCCAGTAGATCAGGACGTTGACATAGATGGTGATGAGAGTTAGATTCTTGTAACTAGGTGAAAACGCAACAAGTCAAGCTTACAAAAAGAATTGTCCGAGCAACCAGTTAGATGAAAAATGGTGAAGAAATCAGAGAAGCAAAAATCAATCAAGCGCCCCAAAAGGGCAAAGGTTGAAGTGCATCATTACCAAAAACCTCGACGTCTTGTGACTCTAGAGGAATTCTTGCCAAGCTCATTCGACACAAAGTCTACTCAAGG